TAATCCTAACCGTATTGGGTCTGAAGTGCCAGCAACGTTTTCGTCTTGTGTTGGACTTTTTGTTTTCGTGTTTGCTGTCCGGGCGAGGGCGAACCGTTTTCGATTCGCCTTGCAATGTTACAACATGCGTTCATTGGCTTGTTTTGATATCGAGAGTAGATCACCGATCGGAAGAGGAATCCGATGATTTAAGGCCTGCATGATGTTTAGAACATCGATTTTTTCGGTGACGAAAGTGGGTCCGCCCGATTCCATCTCCCCCAGAGAGGGTCGCCACTCCGCCACTTCCCTTTGTTCTGGCACGGGTCTAATCGTTCCAATCATCCCAAGCCCCGGATAACCAAGCGTCACATACTGATCCAACGGAATAAGCTCAACAGCCTCTTCCATTGTAGCTAACGTGCTTCCACCCCCTTCCATTTCTTCCATTAATGCTCTTACACGTCCAGGCTCGTTAGCGATTAGGGCCGCTGCTACTGGTACAGCCCCGACTCGCGGTTGAGGGGGTCGGTGAGGGCAATCCGGGCTATGTGCCCTGGTTGACGACACGTATAACAGACATTCAGATTGTCAGGGATCCCTGCGGGAGGTGGTGCCGGAGCCAGCCCGTGCTGGATTGGGCAGCACGTACTGCTATTGGTCGAATCGATCTCATCATCGCCTCGATTCGAGCATTGTGTTTCCGTTGTTCCTTTTGCTTTCCTGAATCAGATTGACCAGTGTTTTGGTTAGTTCTAACAAGGTGGCTGATTCATTCGGTCGTGCGGGACTTTCGATCGGAGGTGGGGGTGTTGTCATCACAGGAATGGGTATGCTTGTAATCACACTGGGAGTTGGTTTTTTAGGGGTAATCTGTTCTAAATAGGTGACCGGGCCAGACACAAACCCCATGTTTTGGAATTTATTTTGTAACGCGGCCAGCTCAGCTTTAACTCTTACTAATTCAAACGACTCTTCCCCTTCTCGGAAACTTGCCGCGAATTTTCGTTCCATCTCTTCTACGGCTGCCATGATCTGTTGCAGCGTGTGATTGATGGGGGAGAACTATTTTCGCAGTTTCGTCCTCATCGTTCGGCTGCGAAGTTCGTCGATGAACAAATCTCTTCGTACCTGTTCGCCTCGTTCAGTTTTCACAAACATTCGGTAAAATCGGTTTGGGTACTTGGTGACAGACTCGAGGGGTTTTTGAACTCGCTCTTTAATGATGAAAAGAGCCTGTTCCGGATGGATGTAATCGAATCGGTTCAAGAAGTCTCGTTCGAATGGCGGGAGATCTACCCATACGTAGGTACTAAACTAATGATGAGCGTCCCCTCATAATCGAGCTAGAATTTTTACTTGGGCCTCGTTGTCGTCATACTGCTGAGCCCGGAGCATGGCCAGCCATGCTCCAGCAAGCTGATGTCACTGATGTGCAGGGTCGAACAGATAGAGATCGGGTGGCGTAATGGGTGTCTGCGCTCGTGGTACGGGTTGATTAGGATTTAGTTGTTGATTGGGGTTTTGTTGCGGATTCGGATTAGCGTTCATGTTAGCCGCCCGTCAATTAGCTAATCGGCTTCTAGTGACGACGGGGTTGCGTTTGTGCGCATTCCAGGGTCGAGGTCGCCCTCTGTTAGCCAGATCGCTCGACTACCGTGCTACAAATCCTATAACCCTGCCACGTGTCGGCTCCGATACCTACCTCACGCCCGACACAACTTCCTGATCGGAGTGGGATGTGGGTCTGGAAGTATGAAAAGGGGTGTGCCAAGGATTTTTGGGAAAGTGGGGGTGGAATCCCAGGTCAGAACTGAGATCTTTTGTGACAAGGTCTCATGGGCACGGGTGCAATAAGGCTAAGGGACGAATTACGTCCGGTCTGGTGGTAGTCGGTGTCATGAAGTATAAGGCAGATAGTATGTGCGGTGCATCCCAGACCGTACGATCCGCTCGTTCTAGGGTGGTCCGGGAGAGGGCCGTTGCAATTTCTTATGAGCCGGACCTTCGGGTGTGAACGTGTGGCGATTGTTGGCGCACGTTGTAGTTGGGCGCCGTAATTCCCGAGGTTCGGTGGTTGCCGCGCCGTCTGCAATTTCTGCACGGCGTGTGAGGCCAATACGGGGCTATGAAATTCCACGACACCACTGTGAGTTGGTGGTATGGGAGGAGGAGATGGAAGGGAGGGAAGCTTGTGGCGATGACGACAAAGCCGGGGGATATGAAATACTGCGTGTTATAGGTAGTCGGGTAGTCGGGGCACCTTGGGTCGCTGGTTATGGCGCGGTGAAAGTCCCTGGCGCATAGTTGGTTCTCGGTTAGGCAGGGAAATTTCAGATACCTCCGCCTAAGATATTCGTCCTCCCAGTGCTCTTGGTACTCTGAGTCCTGTACATACGTCATCTTGTCATTGCGGTGTAGTGGAAACCTTCCGCACGCATCTGATTGATGAAGGAATTTTCGGGCATGGCACCGAAAGTTCCTACCAGCTCAGGTGCTTGCAAGGAGGAAATTCCTCGCCTATCTCGATACCAGGATGCCAAGTTCGTCGATGATCACAAACCGTCGCGTGTGGACACGTGTGGGCCCCGTTGATCAATCCGCGCTTACACGTGCGCACATGGGGTGTTCGATCGTACGTGGGACCGTGGGTCTGTTAGCTAAAAAAGTGAGATTTTAATCCTACATGCAAAATCGCCACGTGGCATATTCAATCGTTCAGCAATCCCGTAATTGACAATCATTCCATACTTATGCAAGTGATGCCTATATCAAAACATCGCAACCGACATCAACTTTCCCCTGTTCGCCATCCCCTGTGAGCAAAAACGAGAAGAAAAACAACAAACATACCATTCATTCATCGCAAAGCAAAATTCATTCATTCGGTCAAGCACCCAGTAGGAAAGATTATTGTAACAACTAATTACAAGCAAACGCGGGCCGAAGCCGAGACACAAATGCCGAAAGCAAAAGACGGGCGAATCGTCCAAACTCTCTCTCTCTCTCTCTCTCTCTCTCTCTCTCTCTCTCTCTCTCCCTCCGATGCGGACAATCCGTTGTCGCGCACCAACCCACGAAGTCGTCACCCCGCTTACTCCTCCTGCACCCGTCAGGTTCGTCCACACGCTACAGTCCGTTATAGCCCCACGTGTCAACCCTGCGCATTCGGCACCAGCTCGTCGGGTCGCCCGACTCCCACTTCAACTCACCTCTTACTTCGCTTGTGAGTCGACCCTCACTGATATCCCCGAGTTTCCGGCAACTGTTTAAGAGAGCTATCTAATCGTGCAACCAAAATTTATAGTGTGCATGCATGCACGAAGAACACGGAATTACAAGGACTTAGAGAGGAGATCAGGGGAGGGTGCGCCTACGTTCCGTATTGACAGATCGCGGCGTGGGGGACGTAGCCACTTTCCACGCATCAATCTGAGTATGCAGGCCGCGGGCTAACTAGACACGAGAAAAAGGGAAAGAGAGAGCGGGAAAGACGAAGCTCAAGAAGAAAGATACAGTTACAATGGCGCCTGCCCGAAATTACAGTTACGTGCAAGATTAAGGGCGCCGACTAATCAGAGCTCCGTTGCAGCCGCAAAAAGAAGCGTGCAAGCAGAAGGCGTTGCGCGGCAAAATGAAATCCTAAATTCCAAAATTCCAAAATTCCTATCTAATGCGAAAATGCAAAAGGCACAAATTCCGAAAAGAAGGTCCGAAGTTCTGAGAGCCGTCAAGGTTCGACAAGATTTAAAAAGGAATTTAAAAAGAAAATTCAAAAAGACGAAGCAAAATTCCCTCGAGATCTCCGCGCCAAAAACTCGACAATAAAACAAAAGAAGCGACGTCAATCTTTATTGATCGCGCGCACAGCGGCGCGCCACTCAACCGATCATCTCGGGACTTGCCCAGCCCTGAACCCAGCCATCCGAAAAGAAGCGACGCAAAAGGACGAAGAAGCGAGGACACCGATGCAATTTTCCCTTCGATCCCGATCTCCCATAATTGGCCCAACCTTCCCATCTTAGGACCCCTCATTGTCATCGTGCAGACGATCGCGCAGAACAGAAATTGGTTCGTCACAGCGTTATGAACCCTTCCCTCCCAGACTAATTACGTTTCCGTCCTTGGAACCCTGACACAGGAGGTTCCAGTTCTGACCTAGGACTCCACCCCCACTATCCTAAAATCCTTGGCCGCCCCCCTTTTTGTCACACTTCCGGGCCTAGACCCACTCCGAAGTTGTGCAGGGCGTGAGGTGGGGCATGACATAGGTGGCACCATTAGACACTACCTGTGATATCTAGGGTGTGCATGAATAGATCTATACACTGGGGAGCCTGGGTACGTTTGGGGGGCATTAAGGGTCTAACCATGGTGCCTGTAGAAACAACACTTACACCTAGCGTCCTAAGTACCTGTAAAACCCCTGTCGACGTGCTTCAACCAGGGCTGAGTGAAGCTGTTCTCTTAGCCGTGTGCCTGCAACCCCTGTCTGGTCAGTTCACGCCGCCAAGATGAAGAAGGGTGATGGTCCTGAGGACCTGAGAGGTGGACACTTGACACAGAGGTCGGATTGGAGTAGGGATGCTTTCGGGAGAATTGACAGTGGAAAGTTGGGTGGGGGTCTCGTAAGGGGTAGGAGCCTACAAGGAAAAAAGTCAAAGGTCCGCCTACTGGTACCCCAATAGCGTATGAGATGGTGCTTTTCCTGCGGGTCTTTTGGTACGACCGAATGATACAGTGCCGACTCCCGAACCCACATGGCCGTCGCCTCCACGGGCCTCTGAATCAAACTGTTGGCAGGCGGCAGGGCGTTGCGAAGGGGATTGATGCGGAGTCTGCCGACTGACGGTGCAGTTGACGCGAAGGCCCGGTCAGGCCCAGTCCCACGGGCCCACGCGACTTTCCTCAGACCTGACTGTGTGAGGTTAGCACACTCGACAGTCGAGGGTTGACGGGAGGTACGACCAAGCCGGGGCAAGTTGAGCTCGCAGACTCGCGGCGTAGGGTGCAGGCGATGTGCCAATTGGTCATGCCAAATCCCGAGTAGGCGCTCTGGCAGCGTCGGGCGGCCACCGTATGCGGTTTTCTCAGGCAAGTATCTCCGGTCGCCAGCATCCTCCATGTTTTTAGGTAGGATGGGTTTAGGTGTGCATGGGTGATACTGCGTATGTGTGTTCTCACGTGAGGGTGGGGAAGAGACAAATACCAACATGTGTGCATGACCAGTGCTCTTCTTCGTAGATACAGCTGTTCATCCCTTGCTTGTTGCCTCCACCTGTGTGTGTGTGTGCGGATACTAGGTGTAGGGTGTGCGTACGTGTGTGTGTGTGTGTGTGTGTGTGTGTGTGTGTGTGTGTG